TTTCAAAAAACTATCTGACTTTATCAATTACTCTGTGAATAGTTACATTTCATATTCCATATTGAAACTCCCATATCTGCCCATTTGAATATTCTAGTATGCAAAGCATTAGTCAGAGCCATTTCCAATTTAAGGTAACACTCATTATTACCGTATAAAATTATCTTACTATGAAATGTGGAATACACGCAGTTTATACGTTGCGAAAAAAACTATTTGTGTGGTATGGAAGACTTCAAAATCTTATTAATTTTGCCAATAAACTGTCAACGATAGTGATACGTCATCAATTGTCAAATTTAGACTCGCAAACAAGAGCTATCTCTGATTACGCACAATCTTCAACTGTTTTCCACTTGTAGAAGAAATAAATATAGTTTAAAAATACTAAAAAACACGCTTTCAAAGAACATCGAACTAAAAACTTAAACGAAAGAAAAATATTAGTATTATTGTGAAAAAAGTGACTAGCGCTTGATATACAAAAAATATGACAGAAAGCGCCCACGCTTTTTTCACAAAAATACTGGTATTTTTCGTTCGTTATTGCTTATTTGAAAAAATATTTTGAACTTTTTAGTTCGATGTTCTTCAAAAGCGTGTTTTTTAGTTTTTTAAACTAAATTTATTTTTCATTTTTTAGTTTCGTATGCTATAAAATCGTGTTTTTAGTCTTTTTAAACCATATTTATTTCATCTAAACTTTGGGAACAATCAGCCGTATATTGTTTAAAAAAAATGACCATTGATATTTTCCGATTCCGGAGAGGGAGTCTGAAAATCAGCTACCAAGGCCAAGGAAGGCAGAAGACACGCAAGGAAAAAGGGATACAAATAAGGCAGCGCGTGTTAATAAAAAAAATATTTTTTCCAATGAAGAAATACCGACAATGATGTCGATAATGGGGAATGTTCCTCAATTTGGGTCATTACAGCAAATGCAAGTTTGAACAAAATAAAGTTGAGTTTAATTCATGAGTTTTTCAAATTCACTTCGAAAAGTATTCAAATTGATGTTTCAAATGTTGGCTTTAAATTTTTAAAGGGATTTGTTTCAAATTCACATATTGGCAACAGCGCCTAGAATGCTACATCGGAGTTCAGGTTACCTAGATATTCTACTTTAAAAAAGGAGAATTATCTTTATAAATCAACAATTAAGACAAAATATAAATTACAGTTCAATACCACCTCCACAAGCCACATAAACATTTGTTTTGTTATTTATTTATATAGAGGACGATAGGTTAGGAGCACAAAATGTCATATGTCACAGAATGTCTCGGAACTCGGAACATAAGTAAACAGAACAGCACGCCTCTCAAATATGTCATCTTTGTTTGTCTCATTCAAGTATTTAAATAATTTTTTAAAGAAAAAGGTTGAAACGATAAGTTTAAAATGCGTTGTTTTACAGCTCTTTTATGAAAACTACTTGATTTTCGTCAGGAGGAACATTCCCCGTTCTGTCAAATGCAGATCCCGAGCTTGACAGTTACAAAAAAACAAACAAACATACATACATACATACATACAGATGAAGCTAATAAAAGCGTGTTAATAATAATTTATTAACAAAATTTTAAAAAAAGGATGTTTCATCGCGTCACATATTGAGAACGCATTCGTGGTCCACTCGTTTGAAGTGGTGGTACATGATAACTTGATAGAAAATGCAATGATGCTTGTTTGATTGTACATGAATAATCATAAAACAGATGGTCCACAGATGGATATCGTAATTTCTCTATGAATTTTCTCCACCATTACTCCTCAAGCACTTTTTTAAACGTTTTCATAATTTAATGTTTACAATTCAGAGTTCAATTTGTCAATTTGCCAGTTGCTTCATAAATTGAGTGTCTTGAGTAAGAGAAGGGGCTATGCCACTTAATTTTTTTTTGTTTTAATAGTTCTGGACCGTGCTGCTACCTGTTGATTCCTCCCAGTACGTTATCACAGATATTTCGCGAATCAATTGATGAAATTGATAAAAAATTTTCAAGAATTATCCAAACACAACGATGTCTCAACTAAAATAACGCAAACATCTCAAAATCACGGACAAAGTAGATAAACTGAAGGGCACGTGCAACATCGTCCACCTGTTTACCTGAAACTGGGTGAAAGCAGGTAAATATTCTTTGTCATGTCCATCTGGTAGGTCATGAGAATGGACGTACGCCGAAACGAACAATAAGAGAAGAAAATGAGGTATATTTCGCTAGAAAGTAGGATGCATAGTATATGGATAAACAGATACCAGAAAACATTTTCGGTATTTGAAAACAAGACATAAATTTCAAAATTTGCTACCCATGACGTATTGCCATTTTGCCAATAAGGAGAAAGTAACAACAAATTACGAGTGAAATCATCGACAAAATTCAATTGAAATGGATAAAAGGGCCAAAAATATAAGAATTATCTTAAATTTGAAAGAATTAATAGTATAATGGTATTACACATTATTGTGGTACGTGAGTTAATCGGTTGAACACGTATTCCAAAAATCATTGTTTTAGATTTTATAGCGTTAATATCGATCCCCAAACATAGTTTTTCTTCTTCCACGTTCATTATCTTTATATAGATTACGTCACATAGTATTGTACTGTTAAGAGACAGTAAACGTCAACACTACTAAATAAACTGTTTGTGATAAGATTTATTGAAATGAATAACAGTGATAATAACGAAGAGGATTTTCAATTCTATGGTTGAAAATTAACTAAGACATCATAAAATTTGTTATAGTGATTGTTGATGTGAAGAAAACTTCTCATCTGGTAATTTTTGATATCTGTAGCCGCTTTGGTTATAATATTTTGTTGAACATCATTATTTCCTAATAAACTAAAACGTTATTTTTTTCCATATTTTCAGTTTTTAGTTGCATCTTGTTCCGGTTGACGGACGTCGATTTATCAGTCTTCATGTTTTGATAAAATTTTTACCAAAAGATGTTCAGAGGAAAACACTAATCATATTTTCATATTATTTTTTTGACTTCAACAAAAACTTCTCCTAGATCTTTTTAGAAATTGTTAGTTGTTTTTGAATATTCTGAGAAAAGTCATATTTTTCCATACATTCAGTGAACTATAACAATTACAGATATCAATCAATCATGCTTTACTGCCCAAGAAATCCTTATTGACAAAGTTAGTGAAACTTAATGAAGTCAACAATGTTAAAGTTTTTCAAAAAAATATTAAAATTAGGATATACAGTGATAAATCATTATAGGGTTAAAAATGTACATATAGGAATACACATAAAAAAACAATATATACACCATTACAGATAATAAATAAATAAATCATTACAGATATGTAAGCATCTGAAAAACTAAAAGTTAAAATACATTATCGTAATATTCCTTTAAGTCGTATTAGGCTTTTTGCAGAAGTACTCCTTTAACTAATTTTCTGAATTTTTTAAAAATTGCTATTGCCCTATAGCACATTGGAAGGTCGTTTTATATTTTCTGGCTCTCATATATCAAAGAAAATTGTGTAATTGCTGATTTTGGGATTGCCCAACATATGCATCTGACAGCCCTTTTTTGTCGAACGAATACTGTATTTAGTAATTGCTGACTACAAAAGCTCCAAAAGGCAATTCCATATCCCAAGTGCGACTCTATCAAGGAAAAATACAGTTCTGGCTGAGGATTGATTGAGTTCGTTAGAAACAACTCGAACTGCATACCACCCAGATGCTATTTTTTTGCATGAATTTGTTATATGCTCATCAAATTTTAATTTATCATCTATGAATACCCCTAAAAATTTTGTGTGAGTTTTATTAACTATAGCGTGATTTTCTATAAGTCGTCAAAATTGAGTTTAAAGCAAACTATGTTTGTTTTATTTGTGTTGAAACACAAGGAGTTTGAATTGCACCACTGTTTAACCCTATAGATATCCAGAGATTATCTTCATTTGACCCACGCCAAAGGATCGTGGTATCATCCGCAAAAAGGGTGAACTTCCCTTTAATGTCAATTGTTACCAGATCATTCAGATAAAGCAGAAAAAGGATAGGACCCAGAACCGAACCTTGTGGTACACCTGGTGTATTATTCTCAATATGCGATGTATTTCCTTGGAGTTATACTAACTGCTTCCTGCCTGTTAGATAACTGTAAAACCAGTTATATGACAATCCTCTAAAGCTATAGCACTGAAGTCTAAATAATGGTGTTTCATGGTTCTGACAGTCGAACGCTTTTGAGAAATCACAGAATACTGCCGCAATAGGTTCGTTTTTATTTAAACCAATATATACATCTTCTAGAAAAGAGAAGATTGCATCGACTGTATTTTTATGGCTTTGAAATCCATATTGAGATTCGCATAGTATGTTATTATTACTTAAGAAGTTGAGCATTCTCTTTTTAACCAGTTTTTCAATTAGTTTTGAGATTGTCAGAAGCAATAATATAGGCCGGAAGTTTGATGGATCATTCATTTTACCACCTTTATGAAGCGGAATGACTATTGCTAGTTTCAGACATGTAGGAAATATGCCAGAATGAAATAATTTATTAATGGCCTCAACAAAAATATTTCAAGCGTATTTAGTCTATATAATTTATTTCATCACTTTGATTAAATATCATTCATTCCAAACGACGTGTGTATTGTATCGATTAGATGATAATTTTGCGGAGAGACAAAATGAAATTCTCATTTTAATTTCTCTAATATTTCAATTCAAGAGGTATTTTACTTAGTCGAATGAATTGTGGATCATTTCAAGAATAACATTTATTGAGTTCTCAAAATAATTCGGTTGAGTCAAACAATATAATTTTATCAAATCAAAAGTACGTCTGTTGAATGAAAACTTTCCAATTCAGTTTAACACTATGGGGTGCTGTTTTGACACTAATATATAATTGAATCAACTGAATATTTATTTTCACTTCAACAATACATATCAATACCTTTAACTAATTTTGGAAATAATTTCAAGACTGGATAATTTCATTTCAATATTTTTATTATTTGTTGGTTTGAAAAATTAAATTGTTTCCTTGAAAGAAATGATATAGTTGAAATACTTCTAAGGAATAGAGTGCAGGTCGGCACCATTTGCGTTTTCGCAAGAACCGTAAACTAATCACGAGTGGAATAAGAATTAAAAATGTGTTTTGTGTTTTTCAAGGAAATGACGAAGAGGTTTACAGTTTCTTTTTGATTATACGTGGATTGAAGTTTTTCAGTGTTTTCACAGGTATGTTGATAATATACTTTCTTTCATTCCATATTTTGAAATATTTATGAATAGCATGTATTGGATAAATGGACATCGTTTTTTTTAAGCACGTGCCGATACATTTTTCTCGACAGCTATCTATAAAAGTAGCTTGAAGTTCTTATTGTTTAATGTAATGACTGAAAGAAAGAATGTTTTCAATTCTGTTTTTAAGAAAGTAGAAGTTGTCGAGTGAAATGATTATCATTGAGAGGTAGGTAGGTATGCATACACTGGGTACCTATAGTTGACCTTTGATCTTTGGATACAGAGGAATTGGACATTTTCAGAGTAAATACAATTAAAGTGTTTTCCACAGAAATAGGTGTAGGTATACAATGTCAGCGAAGAGCTGTACCTTTAGTTCGAATTCTAAATTTCTTACATCATAAATAATTGAATGGTGCCGTAAACAATGATTTCATTTTCATCATGATAGTATATACTGAACCCTTGAAGGAACCTCTTTTTAAGATTTTCCTTTCAAAGAATATTGTGAAATAATCACAGTTTTCTCTTGTATTACTTTATTAAAATCAGTAATACTGAAAAAGAAAAGTTATTTGTAACATATTTACAGAAATGATGACATCCAACAAAACTGCACGAACTCAAAACATGCAATATAATCTCTTTTATTTTTAGACATGGAGGAATTTCTTAATAACTTGGGATTAAATGACCTGATTGGCATTTTTAAAGGTAAAAAAATACATGTATTATTTATCCCCTAATAATATACTTAAAGACAGACAGAAAATGATGTAACCTTATTAGACATAGCTAAAAGGCTCACTGATGAAGAAATGAAAGAAATGACTTCCCCAATTGGCAAAAGAAAAATATTCAATCAAGGAAGCAATTGATGGAATAAATTAAGAATCATATATAACAGAGGTATGTCTTTCATTCATAACTTTAATAATAAATATGTATACCATTACAATTAAAAACATATTCATTTTTCTCAAATAACTATATATTTTTGCGATTTGCTGTAGATACTTATTATTATTCAGGTCTATACCTAAGTAATTAAATGCTAGAATTCTTAAATTTAATAGATTTGAAGGCCTGAAAGTTATGATTGGAGACACTTTTATTTCTTTGAATGAAGTGAATTTTATTTCATTCAATAAATCTTTTTTTTCCGTGTAGAAAATAAATTTTTCGAAAGAGAATCGCGAGACATTCGTCTCTCCGAACGTACCTATAGAGTAGGTTCTGGTTAATGCCTGCCAGAAAACAACTACTTCCCCGGCTAGTACCACGATGGACATTGAATTATATCCGACAGACTTACGCAAGATAGATAAATCTTTCTCTCAGACGAATGTCTCCTACTGCGTTGAATTCAATCGAGCCCCAGGCTGTTTGGGTCGTTCCTGCGCTGATTTTTTACTTTTACTTTTTACATTAGATAAAACTGCTGAAAATATAAAAAAAAAATTGGGAAAAAACTTTCTATTTTTCCATCTCAACACAAACAATGTATGAAGATGCCAAAGTATAAAGATGAAGACGTACAAAGATGGAGAAGTTAAAAGCCAAATAGCTTCAAGTATGATCATTAAATATTAAGAATGTTAAATCAACAGTCGACCATTTATTGGTTTTGGATGCGAATTAGTATAAAGCTCGAACACTCTCAACTATACTGTACATAACTCGTTCTTTTACATCTCAGAGACAAATCCCTGATGATCTAACCTGTATCTTCTTATGATTCATGATTACTAAAATTGGTACAGAGTTCACTCAATACCAACAACGAATGATATTTAGAAATTGTTATTCACTGAAATACTCGTCAAAAACTATCATTTATTCAATTATTCAGATTCAATTTACAAATTCGTTTAGAAACAAATCGACAAGGGACACCGAATGGTTTTGAAATTTAAAGTATCTTTAGCCAACGGTTCTTTTTCAATACCATCGCATTCAGTTTCATTTCAGGGCGACTCATCCTGAACAAGAATTGAAACAAGTCACATACTCGCTAGAAGTACGGTCGAGGTTACTCATAAATTTAAAAAAACATAAATTAGAAAAAGGTGGCAGTCAGATCCTTATAAAATTCTTTTATCTGAGATTAAAATATTCACTATTATAAAAACGTGTTTGGGCCAGACGCAGCTGAAGCACTGTAGAATAAATTATTATTTCTTTCGGCTTCAAGAACATCTAGTTTATTGTATAAAGTTTATACCTGTAGAAACGATCACTACAAAGAATATTACTATCATCATTTTTTTATCAGAGCTGTATTGTATATAGAGTATGTATAATTCCATTTTAGCCCAGTCAATAAATGTTTATATTATTCGATTATTATAAAGCAAATTGAAATTTGGGGATCTATATTTTCAACAAAATTATACCTTTCAGAATTAACGGTAGAAATAACATGGACCAATCATGTTTTCCATTAATATACCGTGACAAATTGATCTTCAAAACGCAGCTACCTGTAACAGCTGCGAGTTTTTCTTCCCTCTAAACGGCCGGTGGGTTTTTCCAATTAAGTTATTCACTAAAACACAGAATTTTCCACGTATTTTTGAATAACCTGTGTCAACTGCTCAGATACAAGGTATTCATATGAACAGCCAAATATTTATCATGTAAACAAATTACGGAATTTGGGGACAGAAGCAGGGTTTTCAAAAATCTGCATTCTATTAATTTTCACTAAAGAACGAATCAAGTTTTTGAAGAACAAAAATTACCAGAAAAATGTAGAAACCGTACAGATATTCAAATTTGATAATTTTGAATCGTATTTCTATGTTATAATTAACACCATAATATAGTTATAACTAATTATATTTTCCTACCAAAATTTGAAAAATATTTCGTTACATTAGTAGCTTCAATGATAATTTATCAAAACTTGAAAATATAATTCAAAGTATTTTTATGTTGACAGTCATGGAATCTGCACATTAGAGACGAATTCATAATTTACTGGACAGCAGGTCACTGTCAAATAAACATAAAAAATGTTAAATTTAAAAGGTTAATTATGTTTATTCGTCCGTTCATATAAATCAGCGCATCTCATGGGACCGGTAAAACCAAACTGGTTTGTACAAAACAACATCATCCTAATTAATTTTCCAATAATGTGCAACATTATGTGCGAAATAATATTTCATAACTGTTATGATTTCGTAATCTTTCACTTCAATTCTAAACGTTTTTCTACATAATAAGCGTTTTTCATGGATAAAAAATATATATTTTCATATATAACGATAACGATTAATCCGAATTGCCTCATAATTCAACAAAATTAATATACTTTTTATATTCCATACTTCTATCGAGATCTAACCAAATCTATTTACCTATCTATGATAGATCTAGATATATGCTGTAGTCTCACAAAGTATTTTTGTTGGAAATGCAGTACTTAATGTTTAAAGAGAAGAAGTTCATATTTAGATATTTTATATAGTTGAAGTAAACGAAATATCGTTTACTTTAACTTTAAGTCTGCACAATAGTGCAGACTTAAAGTTGGCGGCACTCTTAAACGCCAAAAAAACCAATACATGAAAATGAACCGGCTGCGAAGTAGTCCACGTGGACTGTAGAATTGGCGGTTTGTATTGGATTATTTTTACTGACCGAGTTTTATGATTGGCTGAAAAGAGTCATAAAACAAAATTTGAAGTCATGTTACGGTGACGACTAGAAATCGGGGAATGCAAGGATGGTTATCGCCGTCGTGTTCAGTTCAGGAACTGATCGCGATTTGGGTGTTAAACTTCGATATCGGTGCAGTTATAATTATTTGAAATTTTTGTTGTCTGCTTGAAATGTGACGTCCTTGGACAAGTACTAATAGTAATAACGAATATGATAACAACGCAGGCTTTTTTCAGTGTAGTGATTACAATAGCGATGATGAACAATGCGAAAAAGAGATACCAGTGAATACGATTCAGATGCATTTGAATATTGAAACACAGAGTGTTTCAATGTATATAAGAATCTACATCTCAAGTTTGGTTTCGAGGAAACCAAACTATTACAAACAACATTTGACCGAAATTCCTTTCTCAAAACTTTAGATGATCTGATAAAATCATTGAAAAAAACAAAGAGATTCCTACAACTGAAATCATAAGAAAGAAATTGGATATTTCCGGTCATAACGTGAGCTGCTGTGACAAAACTCTTCAGAATTGGATAAGAAACTAGGATTTAGATTTAAAATAATATACAAACGTCAAGCAGTTATGGAAAGCAGAACAAATAACTAAATATAGACAAGAACAACGGCAAATTGTTTAATTGGACGAAACTTGGTATGACATTCACGACACAGTAACGAAAGGGTGGACTGATGGTTCGAGAATGTGTACGCTCAACATACCTGCAAACAAAGGATCGCGACTAATCATTGTGCATTGCAGCCCCATGACACAACCCTGGGACATGCCAAAACTGTTACTGATTCGAGAAGATACAGAGGTTCTTGTTCAATCAGATGAATATCCATCCTCGCCGCACTAGCCATGTCCGGCTAAATTCTTACAACATTCCGAGACGCAATTAAAATTCATATAATCCGCATTTCCAATCTCATTTCCCCCAGCATGTTTACGGCGAGACGTAATAAATACCCCGTTAGAGATTAGTTGCTGTCGCGTACGGTGAGTTTCTAACGTAGCTTTCACGTCACAGTATAATTGGCGAGAATTACTGAGTCTAATATAAAGAGAATAACTTTATTTTCGATTGTCATCAGAGAGTTTCGTTGACGATGACATGCGTATACACATGTCAATATAATTATTAGTTAGATAATCAAATATGCAACGAGCAGCGGAACCAAAAAAGAGAAAATATGTGCAAACAGTTAAATAATATGTTAAACTGTTAAAAAATGCATTACATATATTAACAAACATCGTCAATTTGGGTCCTCATGAAAGTGAGCGGTTCGACATTCATATGTGACAGTATGAATAGGCTGACTTATACTGGGTATCTGAGCACTCAGAAATCACAAACAGCATAAAGCTGCTGAGTGTGCATCTGTTCTGTTTTGAAATCTGTTTTTCCGTTAACCAGCTGTCGCACCCCTACGAACGACAACCCTCAGAAGTCGAAACTTGTGCGAGCTAAGGACTGACGAGGTCTTACCTTTTAACGTGTGATTCCTAGCATACCACGGATCATCAGCTCCACTTATCAGCTCTGATAAGTGGAGCTGTGGGAGTACCAGCTGGGAGTACCAGCTGTGGGAGTACCAATATCAATAGTACCAGCCTACTTGATCAGAAATGGGCCAGTAAAAAGCATAAAGAGTACAAGAAAAATACGGGCAAACCTCTATAAAAGGTTCGGATAAAAAGAACTGGGGAACTGCTCCAACACAGCCGGAATTGGCTAAAAATAATAACAGGGTTGCTCACTGCTCAAAGCAGAGGTTCCCAAACTTTTTTTTAATCATAGACCACTTTCAAAATTTCACTGATTCAGGTGAAATGTGAAGATTAGATCTAACTATTGATTGGTCAATTAATTAATTGATTGTGTTGTGAGTAGATGTAAAAAAAGTGAAGTTGATCAATCGAAAAAGTGATTCCATCCAACTGTATTTTTTGACATACAACACAAAAAATCGATCAATTCTACCTTATTTTATTTAGAAAACTCCCCATTCCGTGTGGTAAAAATGAAATATTAGTATTTATATTGGTGAAGAATCAAACAAGTTAATGTTGCAAGGTTGCAAGCACACACACAAGTTGTATTTCGTTCCCTTTGCACGTCTGTACAAGCGTTGCGGACGACAGCGGCAGCGCTTTGCAAGTCTCGACACGTTGGTACCGAATATAGAATTTGCAAGTTTTTACATGTAACAGCCTCCGAGTTTCTTAAAATATTTTCTGCCTACATTGATAGGTGAAGTCGAAACCAACATTTTAATTCTTCACTATCGAAACCAAATAAATCTTCGCTGACCCCCGCTTACGAATTGTGAACCCCCATTTTTCCAACGTAGACCCCCGTCGAGTCTCTCGTAGACTCCTGGGGGTCCATCTGGACCACTTTGGGAATCATAGA